TCAGGTGGGATGGGAAGGAAGGACATCTGTAATACTTTCAACAATAAAGGTAAATTTTTCAAAGAGAAGAAGAATAAAGACTTGGGCAAGTTCTTAACACAGTTAATTTTTTAAAAAATGATTTTCGATTGAATTTAATCCAAGAGATATTTATTGAGCATTGATTACATTTAAGGAATATCAATAAATTAACATCTTTCCCTTTGGAATAATTGATCAAGCAATTAATTCATTTATATCTCAACCAGATTAAATAGGGCTTTTCATAGATCTTCATGCCAGAAGTCACAAATCACTCCAGCAATACATTTTCATCAAAGCAGTCAGCTATGATCATGGGTATAAAGAATCTTCAGATGTGAGCCCTGGCCGGTTTGGCTCAGCGGTTAGAGCGTCCGCCTGCGGTCCCGAGAGACCCGGGTTTGGTTCCCGCTAAGGGCACGCACCTCGGTTGCAGTTTGTCCCCAGCCCTGGTTGGTCGTGCGGGTGGCGGCCACTCGATGTGTCCCTTTCACATCGATGTTTCTCTCTCTCTCTCTCTCTCTCTCTCTCTCTCGCTCTCTCTCTCTCTCTCTCTCTCCTCCTCCCACTCTGTCTGTACAAAAAAAAAAAAAAAAAGCATAAAAAATAAATAAATAAATAAAGAATCTTCAGATGTGAAAAACTGGTTACAGATAAGAAAGTTTCCTCTCTTCTAGATAACTTTACAATGGATGATAAGATAATTTGCAACTATTTTCTCAAAGAGTCAAATTTTAATTTATGATTTATGACATTTCTTTTTTTTGTTAACCCTCACTTGAGAATATTTTTCTATTGATTTTTAGATAGAGTGAAAAGGGAGCAGGAAGAGACAGAGAGACAGAGAGAAACATTGATTGGTTGCCTTCCACACCTGCCCTGACCGGGGCCAGGAATCCAGCCTGCAACCCAGGTGCAACCCAGGAATCGAACCTCTGACCCTTTGATCTGCAGGCTGTAGCTCTAACAACTGAACCAAACTGGCCAGGGCTAATTCATGACATTATTTGCAATTAATCTATGTGATCTTGTATATAAAGATAGTCATGGATGCATTTGACCAAAAGCTATAGATAGAATTGTTATGGAAGATTTGTTATTACTAGATACAACTGAAGTGTTTACTAATTGAATTGAGAACTTTATAGAGGAAGAATTTTTAAATAAAATATCACTTAAATATATTTTTATATCACTTATATTTTCCAAGAAAATGACATTGTCTTAGCAGCAAAAAAAAATGGCTGTCCATGAAATGGTACAGAGAAGATGTTCTACATCATTAATCTTTGGGAAATGCAAATCAAAATCACAAGGAGATAGATATCAGTTCACACCTGTTAGAATGGCCATTATAAAAAAGATAAGAAATAAGTGCTGGTGAGAATGTGGCAAAAAGGGAACCCTTGTACGCTGTTGGTGGGAAGGTAAATTGGTACAGCCACTGTGGAAAACAGTATGGAGGGTCCTCCAAAAATTAAAAATAGAGTTACCATATGATCCAGCAATTACACTTCTGGGTAATTTGTCTGAAGAAAACAACACACTACTGTGAAAAGTTACATGTACTCTATGTTCATTGCAGCATTATTTACAATAGTCAAGATATGGAAATAACCTAAATGCCCATCAGTTAATGATCAGATAAAGAAACTGTGATATATATATATTTGCACAAAACATGGCTGAATCTCAAGGGCATTATGCTAAGTGAAATATGTCAGACAGAGCCCAGCCTGCGTGGCTCAGTGGATTGAACATCATCCCATGGACTGAGAAGTCTCAGTTTGATTCCCCAGATTGTGGACTAAATCCCCAATAGGGGAAGTGCAGGAGGCAGCCGATTGATGTTTCTATCTCTCTCTCCCTCTCTCCCTCTAAAAAAAAAAAAAATCAATAAAACATATTACAAAAAAAAAAAAAAAAGTCGGACAGAGAAAGAAAAATACCATATGAGAGAGCATATGCCAAATCTAAAAATAGATAAATAAATACAAGCTCATAGAAACAGGAAACAGACTGGTGGTTTCCAGAGGTGGGTGTGGGGGGAGGGTAGAAAAAAATGGGTAAAATATGTTTTCTTTGTTTGTTTATTTAAATAAATTGAATAAAAAATAAAATAATATGGAAATATTTCTAAGTTATATTTTAAGTGATAAAAGCAAGACACACATCAGTGTATATAGTTTGCTATGATTTGGGTAAAGAACAAAAATGATGTGGAAAGAATATCTAAAATATTTGGATCTAACGATAGAGCAAACAAATGTTTCATTTGCTGTTAATTTTCTTCTTTCCATGCCCCCCCCCTTTTAAATTTTAAATCCTTTGGAAACAGCTAACTCTTAAACTTTAAATTATTTTTATTGTATAGAAGGGAATTTTAGAAAAATTTAGTTTACAAATTTCTACTGTCTATTATTTCTCAAATTTGCTTTTCTTACATTTTCAACTCTCTCCAAGGCTTTAGCAGATGAAATATCTAGAAGCAGACCTAATTAGAAATAAGTGAGCTCATAGTTATAACTGTTATTACTGTCATACTTCCTTTAGCTGCCAGAATATTCTATAAACGGCCATAGATAACCAGCTTAGTGGGCTTGCCTCACTGCACAGTACATAAATCACTGCTGATTTAACTAAGTAACGTAGCCTTTGAATTCAGACTCAGTACACACACACCCTTACACACATATTATATTTTACGGAATTTAAGAACAGTGCTTAATAAAATTTGAATGTCTTTAAAGCGGGATTTGGTCCTGTCTTCCACATTAGCGTTGAGAACCATTTCTGTCTATTATTTCATATCTAAAAATATCAACAGGGAGCGGTGTTTTGGGGGACAGTATTGATTTAACAGATAAGCATAATCTTTTTGTTTTCGCTGAAGCAATAAATACTTCAGTTGAAGGGTAAATAAATATTCCCTTGTTTTCTGAAATCCATCTATAGCATTCAGTATAACTTTGACCTTATAAGGAATAATCATTCTCTGGCACATTGACCAGAAAGCTGCACTACCTCCCTTTGTGAGCAGGTAACAGTACTGTTGAGTCATCAGGAAAGATCTTGGAAAGAGAACTCCCAAAGGGGATGAAGATGCTGAGAACCGAGCACTTTCCTGTACCACACTGCAGCTTCCATTGGTCCCGCAGACAAAACAAAATGTGAATGAAAAACAAAACAGTGAATAGAGCATGAAAATATTAAAAAATCAAGTCACAGAGAGCTTTCTTTTCTCATGATTTAACTTTAGAAAAGCCATAAAAACTATCGCAAAAAATGTGTATCATTGCTACCAGTCATTGTGACTGTGGTTGGGGAAGCAGTATTTAAACAAAAAAAGAAAGAAAAAAATATAACAAACTAGTTGGAGGACCACCTAGAAACTTTAGGCTTTTTATCAAGATGGTGAAAAAGCATAGGTGAAATAAGCTGGTTTGAGCTGGTCCAGCTAGTGATGGCAGTGGGAAGGGTGGCTGCCAGGACTTTTTTTTTTTAAATATTTTTTCTTTATTGATTTTTAGAGAGAGAGGGAAGGAGAGAGAGATAGAAACATCAATGAGCGAGAACATTGATTGGCTACCTCTTGCATGCCCCCCACTGAGGACAGGGCCCACAACCTGGTCATATGCCCTGACCAGGAATCGAACTGACAATCTCTTGATACATGGGTCGATGCTCAACCACTGAGCCACACCAGCCAGGCTGCCAGGGCTTCTTTAAGAAGACAGGCTGGAGGAAAGAATTTTTGTCTTCCTCCTGCCTCTCACCCATGTCCGCTAGGACACTCACTGCCTTCTCCTTCCCTGTTAAGGGCATAAGTTCACCTGCTCAGGTGAGGAGGTGATGTGATGTGCAAGATCACAGTCACTTCTCCACCCTATTTTCTCTCAAACCCAAATTTGATGGGCCTTTCTTCCTAAGAGTTTAGGGGATGAAATTCTGACCAGAGAAATCAACTCGTATCTGTCCTCTGAACAATTATTTCTGTAGAATCAGTAACGCCTTAAAATTTATCAAATTTGTTGTCACTTGCTCTGGCCAGTTTGGCTCAGCGGTTCGAGCATCGGCCTGCTGTCCAGAGAGACCCAGGTTCAGTTCCCGCTAAGGGTGTGTACCTCGGTTGCAGTTTGTCCCCCGCCCTGGTTGGTCGTGGGGGTGACTGCCACTCGATGTGTCCCTTTCACCTTGATGTTTCTCTCTCTCTCTCTCTCTTCCTCTCTCTCCCTCCCACTGTACCTGAACAAAGAATGGAAAAATGTCCTTGGGTGAGGATAAAAAAAAAATTGTTGTCACTAGACCACTTTTCCCACTGAATTAAGCTGAGTTACCTCTTTTTTTTTAGCACGTGCCTCTGGCAGGAACCAAGCCAGGGACTCTCTGGTCCACAGGCCGATGCTCCAACCACTGAGCCAAACCAGCCAGGGCTTGAGTTACCTTTTATAGCTAAACTTCTTGGGGTTACTATTAACTTCTTTTCTGAGAACTTTCTCATCATCCTTTATGATACATCAGGAACACTTGAGAGGTTTGTTTTTCACTCAGCGGATAGCCCATATTTACTGTTGTAAAGAAATGGGCATTTTGCTTCCTGAGAATGAAGCAAAGCCATCAGGGCAATATTATTATATTTTTATTTGTTGCATTGACTCTATTTTTCTTGAATAGTGGACAGTCAAGAAAAATAGAATACATCTGAGAACTGGCTTTGTAATAGGTCAAAAAACTGAACGAAAATGATGAATTGGAAAAAAAAAAAAGATGTAGCCTTTGTACTCCCTAGTGAATTAAGCTGCTTCAAGATCATTTTTGTACCTACACCTATTAAATGAAAAACTCTGCTTGCAGCAATACAATGCTGCAATTTTTGTTCAATGGGATTTGATAATCATAATATTTACAAAAAGTCAGCCCAACTCACGTCACTTCTCCTCAGAATACTTTGTGTGAAATAGCTTCGATGGAAATTTTACCTTGACAGTGAAGCGTTTTTTCTTTGGTGGATCCCAAACCATGCCAGTTGAATGAATGAATGCACGCAAAGGGGTTAGGGATGTCACCAACACATATGCTTTCAGAATCACAGATAGATCTTTGGCTCTAAAGATGGTCTCATGTGGAGCAAGGGCTGTTGTTTGATCCCTAAAAAATAAAACAACTCAGTTAATGTCCCACAATGTAGGCTAAGTAATTTGTAAATTATCGCAAAGCTTTTTAAACTTCATCTATGCTCTGTTGGACCCCAGTGTTCAGTGTATGGATTTTCTTAAACATTTTTGCTATTTATTAGCATCACTACCAGAAGGTATACAGGTATGGAGAAAAGGGATCAAATTACTGAGAGTTCCCCACTCAGGCAGATTTAATCAAAATATTTTTTTAAAGAAAGGTATAAAAATAGTACCTAAAATAAGTTTTAAAGATTTAAAAACTTCAAATTACTCACATATGGAACCATCATAATAAAAATGATAGAAATTATAGCTTAGGAAACAGTGAAACACCTGACATTGCCTGGCTCTGGCCTTGACCACCTTTACTCCATCTACCCCTCAACAAGAAAAGAGGTTACATTTCTCAATAGTGGACAGGGCACCACAATTCTATCAAAATCCTTTACCCACTATTTCTACTTAATGCCCTCACCACAAATAACTAGGAGTTAATTTAAGAGATGAAACATTAGGAAAACACTTTAGTCTACAAAGAAAAAAATAACACTGGTTTAATTTTTATGATGAAACAACTATGCTATCATCATAAATGGTATCAAAATGTATAACTATTTTTTTCTCTACTATGTTTCTATATTCAAAATGTCTAAGCAATAGATGCATATGATTTTTCAATGAATACTATTGATTGTGGAAATACTACTTAATAATTATAAAAGTAGATAAGGGAAATTATTTTCTGTCTTGGATAAGATCATTACAATCTCTTAATTTATCTACTTTAGAAATCATTTACCTAGAGGTAACATGAATAATGTGGTACCCCGAGTTGCTTTCTTAGATCCTGAGAACTATAAAAAATAATAATAACTAGGAAAAAATGTCATTCAGTCATACTCATAGACTAAGGCAATGTCATTTGAATATAAAATGGAAGTTAAAATTTTATAGTTTCACATTTTCAAGCTTTTAAATTCAATTTACATTAATGTAACTTCCTATAAAAGAGTCCTATTTATCCAAATGTTTATTCTATGGCAGGAGAGGTTTGAATTAGTCTAGAAGAAAGTCAATGATGGTATTCTTTATTAAAAAGAGCCAAAAATTTAAATAACAGACCTAATAATTAAACATGGAAAACCCCCTAGATTTGTTCGATGCTTTTCTCCTCTAAGCTGTCTTCTGAAATGCACGTTGGTTGTAACAATTCAAATGATTAGCTTACAGCTGTTCACGTCTCCAGGTCCATGGTTTCCACATATGTGGCTTCACTGTTTTTGAAAGGTGACTCCAAGTACTCAGCTTGAATTGTGTGCTCTGGTCCAAACACACAGAGGGGTTCACCAGAAGCTGCAGTTCTGCAAAGATTCAGAACAAAAGACATTCTATTGTTTTCTTTTGGAATTGCTTCCAAAATCGAGTTTGCTGTGTTCAACTACTTTTGTTTTGTAGTATGTTCTACCACAGACTAGGAAAATAACTGGAATAACAGATGTCAAATGTTCATGCTCAAAGGGGAGACAGACATGCTGTCTCCAACTGTCCTGCCCTAAGCAGACCTGTCTTCCACACAGCTAAGAGATGCACTCTCAGTATGCGAAGGTACCTGCAGGAGCCGACTTTGTTTGTGAAGAGAATATTACATGGACAACTTGAGTTGACTTCCTGACAATACAATCCTTGGCATGTAAGAGTTTGCCATGCTTTGTGACCTAACAACAGTGCTTTATTATTTTGTAAAATATTACTTATTGGGTTTTTGCATTATATAAAAGTAAAGACCAACAATAGTAACTTACTTCAGAACACTCTTATTGATTTTTTTTAAAATAGATACACATACTTTTTAAAATCAAATTGTAAAGAAAGCTATCAAATGGAAAGAAAAAGCACCCAGCAATTCATCCCCAAATAGGACTTCTCCCCTTTAAGCCAAAGTCAAAGCTTCCATTATTCACTTTACCATCTAGATAAGCAGAAAATCTGTAAGATACACATCATTCTTCAATATATAAATTGAAATAAATATCAATATATCTACCTAAATCTATGTATGTAGATATAGATGGTCCTCAACTTACAATTTTTCAAAATTATGATGGTGTGAAAGCAATACATATTCAGTAGAAAACATACCTCAAATTGTGAATGTTGATCTTTTCCCCGGCTACAGATATGTGGTACATGCAATACTTTCTTGTGATGCTGAACAGTGGCAGCAACCTGCAGCTCCAAGTCAGCCTCACCATCACTGTCCTCTAAACAACTGACACTCTACAGTGTTAGATGATTTTGCTCAACTGTAGGCTAAGCTACGGTGGTCAGTAGATTAGATGTATTAAACATATATTCAGTTTACAATGGGTTTATCAGGAAGTAAGTCCATCTGAAGTTAAGGAGAATCTATATTTCTGCTTTTTAAGTTATCCAAAAGAGATATAATGGTCTATATCTGGCTATTCACCAACTAATCCACCCAGGAGTCCTTTCCATATCAGCCTATACAGAATTACCTTATACTTCTTATTGGCTTAGAGCAGTGGTTCTCAACCTTCTAATTCTATGACCCTTTAATACAGTTCCTCATGTTGTATGTGGGCAGATATGCATGTGGGTAGACCTGCCTGGAGACAGATAGAACAGCGATGTCTCAGTTCCTAAGACCACCGGAAATATGTGTTTTCCGATGGTCTTAGGCGACCCTTGTGAAAGGGTTGTTCGACCCCCAAAGGGGTCACAACCCACAGGTTGAGAACTGCTGTCCTAGAGGGTTTCGTTAAATGAATATATATTTATTGTAACCATTACCTTTTTTGTTGTGTATTTAGATTATTTTTGTAATATTTTTCTTGTACTATTTCAAACATACTACAATGAATGCTCTTACACATCTATTTTGGTGTACTTTTACAAGTTTATCTAGAGGCACCTGGCTGGTGTGGCTTAGTGGTTGAGTATCGACCCATGCACCAAAAGGTCACCGGTTCAATTCCCACTCAGGGCACATGCCCATGTTGTGGGCCAAATCCCCAGTGGGAGGCATACAGGAGGCAGTGAATCTATGTTCTCTCTCATTAATGATTTTATCTTTCTCTCCCCTCTCCCTTCCTCTCTCTCTAAAATCAATAAAGAAAAAAAAATTTTTTTAAACAAGTTTATCTGGAAGCAATTCTAATCTGCATACAGAATTGCCAGGTCAATGAGTAAATGCACTGTAAATTTGACAGACATTACTAAATTGGTATCCAAAAAGGTTGCCCCAATTGCCACTATTTTCAACAGCATATAAGAGTTGTTTCCTTATTGCCAGGCCACAGTGCTAGTTCTCAAAATGGAATATAGCTTTTAAACTATCCCTCCCACCCCTGTACACATTTCATCAATTCTAACATAGTCTAATTTAAAACACTCACATTCTTAAGTAAAAGTCAGCAGAAGTCAAGCTGTTCAATGTATTCCCATATCTCATTATTTAGCACAGTGTGATCTTTCTCAAAAAAAGATAGACTATTTATAAGGCTGCCCTATTAATGACTTTCTAACACATCTTAATAAAAAATATTCAAACTGCTTTTTTCTGGAGGAAACAAATGAAGAGTCATTAAGATAATTTCTTTCTTAAGAATCAGACTTAAAAAGAGTTGCAGTGTCTATATATTCCTTTAGATTTTTAGTAAGAAAATAAGTGTATTTTTTTCACTAGACTTAATTTTGTAGATTAAATTTGCAGAAAGAAAATACATGTTCTTTTTCCGCTAAATAGACATTTTTTTAAAATTTATTACTAGGAAAAATTTTGTCTCTCCTGAAACACTAATTTATAGCCTTCTTTGTATAATAAGAGAACAGTGTAATTTACTCTGATTTCCCTTTACTTTTGCTGCCAAGAAGCAAAGCACTGATTTGAGGCCCTGACCTTGGGCAGAGCTGACCTTGAAGGAACTAGACATATTAAGTGTTTCACCAAGGTAGAAGCTCAATAATTTTGAGGAACTAGTCAGCAAATATGTCAAAAGAGTAAATAATTTTATGTCCCTCTTTTGGTTTCGTTCAAATGAAGGAGCATATGCCATGTAATCGACGAAATCCAATATAGGAATTGCAAGGAATATGTCAGATTTCCACATTAGCCAATGAAACTGTGGTTGAACAATGGAACTGAATATTGATTAAAGTAAGTTTACCCTTTGTGATATATACATATATATATATATATACATATATATATATATATATATATATATATATATATATATATTAGACTTTCCATTATATTATTCCAGGTTTAGAGGTTATTTTCAATGATTCTAAACAAACAAATGAAAATCTGTAATTACATATCCCCTGACATTTAAAAGCATTCCCATTTCCCTTGATTACAGCCAACACTAAAAATGTTTCATTAAAAAAAAAGTAGATGTTTCCAAAATGGCAGCAGAGTGAATGGAAGTTACACAGACCATCTCCCAGGACCAAACTTGAATTACAACTAAAATAAAGACAAATCATTGGGAAAAAGCAACAGAAAAGCAGCTGGAGAGAACCCATATAACCAGGGACAGGAAAAAAGGACACAGTCAAGCCTGGTAGGTCTGCAGTGGCCTGAGAAGGCAGGTTGGATGCCCACGGACAGAACTGTTTTAGCTGTGAGCAGCTCCCTCAGGGTTAAAATCCCAAGCCAGTTCCACAGTCCAGAGAGCCGGGACAGAGCACTAAGTTAGCTACAGCCACTCAACTTGGGTTTTGGAAGAGGGAGGGTGGACTGTTCTGGAACTGTGTGGGGACACCCTGGATTTGGAGGGCACTCAGAATTGTTGCTGAGTCACAGCCACACAGGATGGTGGCCATCTTGCTCAGAGTTATGGGGAGAAGCAGCAGCCCCTCCCTCAGAGATTTAACTCTACAAAGCTGGGCCAGAGAAATGCAAATTGAGTCTCATTAACAACCAGCATCTGCCCCACCCTCTGGAAATCCTCTCACGCTGAACACCTGAAGAAGTTTTTCATTCAGCTGAGGGCTACAACCCCAGGCTCATCAAGTAACTGAGACTAATAGCCTCCAAACAAAAAGCTTGGGTAGCAATATTCATATTTGATGAAATAGATTTCAAAATGAAGGCGATAACTAGAGACAAAGAAGGCCACTACATAATATTGAAAGTATCTATCCAACAGGAAGATATAACCTTGGTAAACATATGCACCCAATATAGGAGCACCAAAATATATTTTAATCTTCTGGAGGACTTCAAAGAAGAAATCAACAGCAATACAATCACAGCAGGGGACTTCAACACCTCACTGACATTACTAAATAGATCCTCTAGACACAAAATTAACAAGGAAACACAGACTCTACATGATGCACTAGAGCTAATAGATTTAATAGGTTTCTACAGAAAATTACACTCTAAAACTACAGAATTCACATTCCTCTCAAGTGCACATGGGACATTCTCAAAGATAGACCATATGTTAGGACACATACTAAGTCTCTACAAGTTCAAAAAGATTGAAATTATATCAAGCATCTTCTCAGATCACAATGGCATGAAACTAGAAATCAAATTCAACAAGACTATGCAAAGACATTTCAACACATGGAGGCTAAATGGCATGTTATTAAACAATGAATCAGTAACCTAGGAGATCAAGGAGGAAATTAAAAACTTCCTGGAAACCAATGAAAATGAACACACAACACAAAATCTATGGGAAGCAGCAAAAACAGTCCTGAGAGGGAAGTTCATAGCACTACAAGCCTACCTCAAGAAACAAGAAACATTTTTAATAGATTATCTAACCTCACAATTTAAAGAGCTGGAAAGCAAACAAACAAACAAACAAAAACCCCAGAGAAAATAGAAGGAAAAAAAAAATAGTAAAAATCAGTGCAGAAATAAATGACATAGACCAAAAAAAAAACAACAAAAAAAAAAAACACAATTCAAAGGATCGATGAAACAAAGAGCTGGTTCTTTGAAAATATAAACAAGATTGATGAACCCTTAGCTAGACTCACCAAGAAACAGAGAGAGGACCCAAATCCACAAAATCAGAAATGAAAGAGGAGAAGTAACAACCAACACCACAGACATACAAAGGATCATTAACAAATACTATGAACAATTATACGGCAATAAATTGGACAATCTAAGCAAAGTGGACAAATTTCTAAAAACACAGTCTCCCAAAACTGAACTGGGAAGAGATAGAAAACTTGAGCAGACAAATAATAACTAAGGAAATTGAAGAGGTAATCAAGACTCTCCCAGCAAACAAAAGCCCAAGCCCAGATGGCTTCACAGGAGACTTTTACCGAACATTCATAGAAGAACTAATACCCATTCTCCTCAAAT